TTAATAGATTCGTTGACACACATAAAACATTGACATTCTAGGAATCACTTGCATATAATGGCATAATATTATTCAATATGTTGCAAATTTCATCCTTCAGTTTTTTAGAGAAAATCCTCTCCATTTGACCAATGTAAAGTTTGAGATAGGAGCAAGTTTCATCTCATTTTTTCCAATAAATTTGCTAAAATCATTATTTGTTTCATAAGCTACGTTCAGAGCTATCTTTTTTAAAAAAAGACTGACATTTTTGGCGAGTTCGCCAAGGTGGGTCAGTGCCAATGTTCTATGTCGCTCAATTTTGTTTTTTGAGGCTGGAAGATCGGGTTCATTGCTCATTTCAGAGTTTTAAAATAATACAATTTTGTTGAGTACAAAACAAATTGAATTTTCGTGACTAGCCTATTACCTCTTCTATTCCCCTTTTTATTGCTTCTCTAGCTAACCTCCCAGGCCCATCTACGGTTTTCCCATCATCATTGGGCCCCCAGGAAGCGCTATAAATGTCAACCAAATCTTGAGCATAGCTCAGAGCAGTACCCTCTATTCGATCGGTCACCAGTCCGTCCAGCATCTTGACACCTGAAAAAAAAGAGAGTTCCTCGGGGTTCTGTAAAAGGGCCGACTTGATCAACGTTTATGTAAGTGATAATCTCGTCGGTTGGGAAAGGCTACATTACCACCGATTTTAGCGTTGAATGCAATTCCAACTCCGCATTTTACGTTGTTGGCTATCATGGCAATTTCTCCAGCGCATCTTGTACCGTGGTTGTTGGAGTTTGTGTGCTCGTATCTCGGGTATGGATCGTCGTCCTCTTCATTGCAGTCCCAGCTTATTTCCGGGTCCTGGAATATCACACATTTTCGTCAGCAAATATTGAATTGGAAGAAAGAATGTTGAACTCACGTAGTTTTCTTTCAAATCGTCATGGGTGTACTCAATTCCGTCGTCAAGGATTGAAATCCTGACTCCTTTACCAGTGATTCCTGCTCGATATACAGAAAGGACGTTGAGATCCAGTTTGGGGAGGTCTATCCTGGATCTGGTATCGCGCTGAAAAGAGAAATTCAAGCTGCAAACCAAATGCGACCGTATTCAACAATGAATCATTCTAGTACCGATGGTATAAAGTTATACTGAATAATTCAATTATTTCTTTACCAAGTACCACTGTTGACTCCACAGTTCATCGTTGAAAGTTTTGTCACTGGAAGCCAACATCGGTCTTTTATACACCCTTCTCTTGTCTTGGTATCTCTTCACTCTTTCTTTTGGTATATCTGAGGGATCGTGAGGAAGGTTGAAGTCTCGTTTTTGTCTAGATTTAACCAGTTGTTCCTCAGCCCATAACACCTGGAAATTTCAAACAAAAATGCATGAAAAGGATCAAATATTTGTTTGTTGAACTTACTCTGTTGTCATTCGCGATTTTCTTCGAATGAAGTCCTCGTTTTCGGAGGTTGTCAAAGGTGTCTTTCAATGGGATCAGAATGTACGTATCGCTGAAACCCATAACCTGGAGGATACATAAATTTCAGAAAGTATTAATGATAATGATAGCAGACGTTTGAAGTAATGTATATATTATTAGGTTCTATCAAAAGTTTTGTCCGTTCTTATCAGTTATCTTAAAACTATAATAAAAACAACAATAAAAATTAATTGGCGCTCCGGGGCGACTTCATTGATTCCAGTGGCGCATTTGCCTTTTCAGCTGCAGGAAAACCCGGAAAACCTGCAGCACCACATCATCTGAAGATCTTGATC